TAGAGAAAGCTAACTTCATTTTCTGTCCCCTCCACTCTTATAGTCATTTTTCAAAAGGTTTTGGTTTTTCTGTGCACTTAAAATTATATATAAGCATATTTATATTTATATCCCACTCTTTTAAAATTAAAGACGGCATACTATATACAGTGTTTTGTACAATGTTTTTTTCACTTAGTAACACATCCTGAGGATTATTCTGGAGCAATATATAGTGATAGGCTTTATTCCGTTTTACAGCTGCATGGTACTCCATAATATGGATGTCCCATAGTGTAGCCAGTCAGTCCTGTTGAGGGATATTTGATTGTTTTCCGGCTTTTGCTGTTGCAAATGGCCCTACAGCAAATAACCTTGTGTATGTGGGGTTTTTGTTGTTGTTGTTGTTTTTGACCAATGTGTCTAAGAGTAGAATCCTGATTTTCCTTGATATTACCAAATTCTCCTTTATAGGAGTTTTGCTGTTATTACCACCAATAACATATAGAGTTTTTATTTCCTAGTAGCCTCAAACTTTTAGGTTTTTTTTTGCCAATCTGATGGAATGTTGTCTCAGTGTAGTTTTAATTTTCATTTCTCTTATTATGAATGTGGTTGAGTATCCTTCCATGTGTTTAAGCTGTTTACGTTTCTTCGGTGAACATTTCCTACTTATTTCCATTTTTCTATGTTTGTTGGTCAGTGTCTTCTCTACTTTTAGAAACTTTATATATTAGGAATGGTTTTTTGTTGTTGTGTTTTTGTGTTGGAGTCTTACTCTGTCGCCTAGGCTGGAGTGCAGTGGCACACTCACGGCCACCCCATTGTCAACCTGCTGGGCCCTGGCGATTCTTCCTCCTCAGCCTTCCAAGTAACTGGAACTACAGGCACGTGCTACCACACCCAGCTAATTTTTAAAAATTATTATTTATTGTAGAGACAAGGTCTTGCCAAATTGCCTGGGTTGGTCTTGAACCTGTGGGCTCAGGCAATCCACACGCCTCGGCCTCCCAAAGTGCTGGGATTACAGGCTGAGCCACCGAGCCTGGCTGGGAATGTTAACCTTTCTTCTTTTCTAGTTTATCGTTTGTCATTTTGCTTAACTAATGTTCTTCCCGTACAAAAGTTTTTAATTTTTATGTGGTCACATTTATAATTTGTTCTTCTTATTCTGAAGTTTGTAATTCTTATTTTTAAAGATTTATATTGGCTGTGTGGGTAAGAAATGGTTCGGGGTCAGGGAGGCAAGGGCCAAAACAGGAAGACCAGTTTGAAGGTGATGATGATAATCCAGCTTTGGTAGCAGTAAAGGCAGTACTGAATTTTTTTTTTTTTTTTTTTGAATTGGAGTCTCACTCTGTCGCCCAGACTGGAGTGCAGTGGCACGCTCCCAGCCACCGCAGCCTCCACCTGCTGGACTCTGGCAATCCTGCCGCCACAGCCTTCCACCACAGCCTTCCGCCACAGCCTTCCGCTGTAGCACAGCTGGAACTACAGGCGCGTGCTACCACACCTGGCTAATTTTTTAAAATTTATTTATTGTATAGATGAGTTCTCACCATTTGCCCAGGTGAGTCTCAAACCCACAGGCTCAGGCAATCCACTCACCTCAGCCTCCCAAAGCACGGGATTACAGGCTGAGCCACCGAGCCTGGCTCTGAATATCTTTTGAAGTATCTGTTGATGGGCAGAATGTAGGGTGTGAAAGAGAAGAGTCAGGATATTCCCAAGTTTTTGACTTAACAGAATCAAATTGCCATTAACTGAGAAGAGGAAGATTGTGGGAGGGGGAAGTTGGAGGGAAGGTTAAGAGTTTGGTTATGGGCTGAGCTCAGCCTGTAATCCCAGCACTTTGGGAGACCGAGGCGAGTGAATTGCCTGAACCCATGGGTTTGAGACCAGCCTGGACAACTTGGCAAGACCTTGTCTCTACAATTAAAAAAGAAAAATTAGCTGGGTGTGGTAGCACACGCCTTACTTGGAAGCCTGAGGCAGAAGGTTCACCAGAGCTCAGCAGGTCGACGCTGGGGGCTTGTGAGTGTGCCACTGCACTGCAGCATGGGCTACAGAGTGAGACTCCAACTCAAAAAAAAAAAAAAAAAGTCTAGTTATGGACATGTAAAGTTTGAGATACCTAGTAAGATATCCAAGTGGAGATTTGAAATAGAAAGTTGGATATGTGAGCCTGTAATTTCAAGGAGTGTTTAGGGTTAGAAATATTCATTTGCAAGTAGAGGATATTTGAGTTTTCTCTATTTATTGACCTTTTTTGGGGTATGCTTTACATATGGTGAAATAAATGTATACTTTAATGACTTTTGACTAAACATATACACTGTATCACTCATATCCCAGCCAAGTATAAAGCAATTCCATCACCCAGATGTTCCCTGGTGATCCTTTCTCGTCATTCTACTCCTCAGAGGCAACCATTGCTCTGATGTATATCATCAGAATTTAGTTTTGCCTCTTAGGTGGTACTTAAAAATATAAGGTTTTATGAGATCACCAGGGTTATAAATGTAGATGGAGAAGAGGTCTAAGCACTGAACCTTGGGGGAATGCCAGGGATCCTAGGGAGAAAATGAGGAGGAATCAGCAAGGGGACTGAAAAGGAGCAGCCTGAGAGAGAGGGTAAGAGCCAGACAGAGTGGATTCCTAAAAAAGTGTTTAAAATAGGAGGGAGTGATGAACCGTGCCACGTGTTGTCAAGAGGTCTTGTAAGATAAGGATTAAAAATTGACCAATAGCAACAAGGGGATCATTGATGAATTTGACGAAAGCCGCTTTGGTGGAATGGTGCAGTTTGAACACCTGATTGGAGTGAATTTGTGTGAATGAGAGGAAGGGGATAGGACAGTAAGAATATAGACAAACGTTTTGAGGGGCAGAAAAATAGGATAGTAACTAGAAGGGAGGAAGTATGGGGTAGAGGGATAGAGGGAGGATTCTGTTTGTTTTTAATGATCAGTGTTTCAGTATCTTTGTGTGCTGGTGTGACTAATCCAGTAAGAAGGAATGAGAGAGAATTGTTGCAGTGATGTCCTTGAGCTGGCAAGAGCGGTGAGAGGGAGAGTCTGACCTGAGATAGGTCCATAGGGATTTCATCCATGGTAATGGGAGGAAGGACTGGTAGAAGTACAGGTGAGAGCATGTAAATGTTCTGTTTGGTTGTTTCTATTTATCCAAGCCATAGGAAGCAAGAGAGGAAGAGGGGAGGAGGTATTAGGTTGAAGAGAGAGGTCCAAGTGTGAATTAGTCTGAGAATGGAAGAGATGATATATCCTCACCTCACACCTTACCCCATTGATAATAGTCATTTAACTTCAGTAAGTCACTTTTGTTTGCTATTCCTCAATTTCTTCATGGAGCTGGCATTATAGTAACTTATTCTTAGGATCTTGTGAGGATACTGCTAAATGAGGAAAATACCTAGCATTGATCCTGGCCCATAGTAGATGATTGATAAAGGATCATTTCTTTCCTAAGTGTAGCCATAAAACTCTTAATAGATTACAGGTGACAAAGTACTTCCCATATTTAAAAATCACTTTAGTCTTATTGTAATCTAACACCTTCTCAAATATGCATTTAATATATTGATTACATGCACTTGTATATTCATAATCTGGAATTTTGTAGCCAAGTGCCACATTTTGAAAAAGAATTAGATGTGACATTTTTCTTCTGGTTTGCCACTCAAATCTACAGGGACTCATTTGATAAATTTGCTTTATTAGTCTGTTCAAAAGTTAGTTGTTTTTTTTGGTTTTGTTTTGTTTTTGAGAAAGCAGGATTTATTGAGAGGACAGGAAAGCTCCCACAATGGGAAGGGACCTCAAGGGGTTGCCCCAAAGTTAGTTTCAATTATATTTTTAAAAAGTTCTAAGTGACTTTCAGTCTGTTGATCTCTCACAGTTTAATTTGACTATGTTAAAGATTGGAAGGGGATTGAACCTATTTTTTGTGGATATTAAAATTTCAGATTTATTCTAAAAGCTTAAGTATGGACATTTTCTGATATTTACAAAAATGAAAGTATAACACCCCCCCCCCCCCGTGTACTTACCTAGCTACCACCTTGACTGATACTCAGATTGATTTAGAGAATTAAATGATCTTTGAGAAGACATGGAACTTGTCTTGATACACTAATGAATAAGAGCTGAATATTCTGGTTTAAAAATAATTTAATTTGAATTCTTTCAGTTATTATTTTATTCATTCATGCATGGTACAAAATTTATTGAGGGTCTGCTTTGTTCATTAGTGCCTAATGGATAAGAGCCTTGGTTGGGTGCACTTCCTAGCTCTGTTACTTACCAGCTATGTGGTCTAGGGCTAATCAAAATATTCTAAGCTTATCAAAAACTTAACATTGACAAAACTGAGATAATGTGAGTATCTACCTTATAGGCTTTCTATAAAGATTAAATGAGATGAACTGGTTTGCTCAATAAAAGTTAGCTACTATTGTAAGTACCCTTTCTCTTTTTCCTTCTCATCTTCTTTGGTACCTAGATTTTGTGCTAGGTGCCGTTGGAGAGTGTGAGAGGACTAAGATGTGGATCTTGACCTTGTAGAACTAGAATTCCAAAATCATACAATATTAGACCCAGAAGAGATCTTGAGATTATCTAGTTTGACAGGCTCAGAGAAGTTTATTGACTTGTCCAATATCATATAGCTAGCTTTTAGTGACACAGCCACACCAAATCTCAGGTCTCTTAGCTGTGAATATTCCTTCTTATATATAGAATGGCTACTCTATTGCTCTGATTCTTCCAGCACCCTTGAACCCTAGTCCTTCTTAATTGACAACCCTGCATGTTCTTCAGAGCTCTGCCTTTTCTATGCACAAGCATTGAAGTATATTGTGGGACTTTCTGCACACGTCAGACCTGGTCATGTCCCTTGACATTCCCTCTTAAAGGTTCCAAAGAAAACTTTTTAGGAAAGGTGGACAGATGCCTCTCTGTGTGTAATCACAAAGATGTTTTTATTGTCTTCTCGTATCACAGCCCAGGAGTTAAAGTCACTGTTTGAAAAAAAATCCCTCAAAGAGAAGCCTCCATGTTCTGGGAAGCAGTCAATATTATCTGTACGCCTGGAGCAGTGCCCTCTGCAGCTGAATAATCCCTTTAACGAGTATTCCAAATTTGATGGCAAGGTAAGTAAAAATAGGACTTTGTCCTGGAAGTAGAGCCACAATTGAGTGGAGTTGTTGGCATTATTATTTCTAGAGTTTCTAAAATGCCTAATAGTTGACTATTATAGAATGTCACATTTTCTAAGACCATTGATGTAAAAGATATGAATTTGGGCTCAGTGTTGTTTCCACAGCAATATATTTGGGAGGATTAAAACAATACAGTCCTGAGATATCTCTCTTCCCTCCTTTTGTAAATAGATATCTCATGACTGTTTTGTTTTAATCCTCCCAAATATCTATCTATCTTAACTCCTAAATATGCTTAAGAATTTGGATATGTTGGGTTGAGATTAGTCAAGGTCTAATTGTGTTGGGCAAGCCTTTGAAAGTAGTTCTGGGAGGCAGTTTGCTTTTGTCTTGGCTGATTCTTTATTAGTAACTGTTGAAATTATTGGTTTGAGCTTCATTTCAGAATTCTAGGCTTTTTGCTTTTCATTTCAGCATTTCACTGTAGGAGTATCTTATTTGACACTTACTCTGGAGGATGACTTTATTTTTTGCCTGTTTGTGCTAACAGTTTGCTATTGTAAAATTAAAGTGTGCTTGTTTTCCTTTTAGAAAAATGATCACTATTTTAGGTGGAGCCTAGCTGCTTGTGCAGCACTCTGTTCCCTAACCCCTGCCATTCTATGTCTCTTTGCTGACCCAAGCAGGGCCTTTTTCAGGAGACAGTAGCAGTTGATTTTTATATTTATTGCCATTATGTTTGCTGCCTGGCAGTGATGTGGGGGTGCTGAGTGATAGCTTTTGCCTGGAGAGGTCGTGTACAATTTGTCTTAGTTCAACACAATTGCAGTTAATAGACATACAGCTCTTTGCTTATGTTTGCTTTTTTTTTTTTTTGAGTTGGAGTCTCACTCTGTTGCCCAGACTGGAGTGCGGTGGCTGCTCCCAGCCACCACAGCCTCGACCTGCTGGGCTCCAGCAATCCTTCTGCCTCAGCCTTCCAAGTAGCTGGAACTACAGGTGCGCACTACCATGCCCAGCTAATTTTTGATTTATTGTAGAGATGAAGTCTTGCCAAGTTGCCCAGGTGGGTCTCGAACCCGCGGGCTCAGGCAATCCACTCACCTCAGCAAGTAGATGTTTTCTCTTGGAAACACTTTTACCTCACACAATTCAGCATGCTTCCATAGGCTCAAGTAAGGCTTGTATGACCATTGGCACAGATTATTGATGTTCTGAGGAAGGAGATCAAGAACTAGAAAGAAAATGCATAAATAACATAAAGATCCCAATATGCTCAGGAAGTTTCCTCCAAAAAATATCTGAAAGCACCTTTAGTAAATTATAAATTGTATTGTTGTAAAGCTTCTCTTTAGCCTGCCTGTACTGCCTTTTTCTGTTTTTTTCTTGTGGAGTGTAGTGAAGAAAAGGAAGGTCCCCCCGGGGGACTGGAATGTCAGCTTCAGGAAAATAGTGAGTTGAACTGTATAGGATTTTTAAAAAATACTACAATTGTTTCATTTAGATATGTGTGAAGTTATTATTGAGATTAGGTTAAATGGCTGAAGTTTATTCGCTTCCATTGCCTGATACCATCTTGTTGTTTGAGGATGTAATTGTTGGAATAATTAATGTGTGATAATGTTTTTATAGTAACAAAATAGCACAGATCTTTTAAGATATTATATTCTAGAGTTCTCCTTATACCATTAGACTTTATTTTATTTTATTTTATTCTTTTGAGTTGGAGTCTCACTCTGTCGCCCAGACTGGAGTGCAGTGGCCGCTCCCGGCCACCGCAGCCTCAACCTGCTGGGCTCCGGCGATCCTTCCGCCTCAGCCTTCCGAGTAGCCGGAATTACAGGCGTACGCTACCACGCCCGGCTGATTTTTTTGATTTATTGTAGAGATGAAGTCTCGCCAAGTTGCCCAGGTGGGTCTCGAACCCACGGGCTCAGGCAATCCACTCACCTCAGCCTCCCAAAGGCACAGGATTACAGGCTGAGCCACTGAGCCCGGCTAGACTTTATTATTAACTCCTTCCGTTTATTATTAACTCCTTCAGTTTGGATTTTTCAGAAGGATGTGAACTCTGCTTGGTATATGTATCTAATTTCTGAAGTACCAGAGAAAAATTAAAGAAAAAAAAAGTAAGCCATTTCTTCAGTTATAAAGGAATTATTTTGGCTACATGTGTGTTTACACTTAAGATTCTTAATGCTTTTGTCATAGCACATCCATTTGTAATCCACAAAGGATGTGAGTATGGAGCAGTCACCATTACAGATTGATTAAGAAATATTTTTATATCAATAAGTCTATCTTATGATGTGGTGCTATTTTATTATTATCCTACATATTACAATTGCTAAAATAAAATTAAACCCTTGTTCTAATCTATTATTTAATATTGATTCATTTGGCAGATATGTAATGAAAATGGCTAATATTTGAAGGATATTGTACTGCACATATTAAATTAGTCTTTCTTTATCTTTGTGAAATGCATCAATATGATATTCAATGACATCTCAGTGATTAATAGAGAATTATACTTGAGTCAAGCCTTTTTGTAACCTAGAAATTAAAATGACTATTCAAATAACACCTCAAAATGATCAAATTAGCATTTTGTGATTGCATAATAATGGGATTGTAGTAGTTATAACAGCACCAGGGCTGCCTCTAGAGTTAAGATCATGTCAACCCCTTGGTAATAAAGCCTTTTCCATGAGAGTTGACTTTAATAATTTCCAGATTGATTCTTCCAATAAATCATCTGACGTTCAGCACTAAATTTTTGTTACTGTTGTAACTTAAAATTATTTTATTTTTATTCAGCTCATATTTAAAAAATGAAATGAGTGTCCTGTTTTAATGATTTGCCATCTTGTCATTGGAACTCCACACCTTTTGCCTCAAACGTGAGGATTTTTAATGTATTTTGATAGTCCTAGTTTTGTTTTTTTTTTTTAAACAAAGGTTTGTTAAAGCCTCTAAAATATGTGCAGTTTTTTCCCTACAAATATTCACAATGCTTTTCTTGGGAATAACGCATGCCTTATTTACATAATTAACTGAGTTGCTTAGGTCTCTTGGGCAAGTGGTACATAATTGGGGAGAGAAGGGGACAAGGAAGAGTTTGGGGTCTAATTAAATATGCTAAAAAACTACTTAATTATGTATTTCCTCAAGAGGCTATCTGCTATGAAATCCTCCTTAAGATTAAACTAGTGTTACATTTGAAAAAATGATTTTGTTTTTGATATGGCTTTACAGTTACGTTGCAGTTAAACAAGCACATTCAGTGTTCTTAACAGTTGGTGCTAACTGGATTTTTGGTTTTAATAATTCTAAGGGTTAACATCTCTTAACGTGCTAAATTAAAGCGAATATTTTCAAGTACTTTTTGATTCCTATAGTTGGTTAATAATTTTTTTTTCTTTTTAAGTTAGAGTCTCACTCTGTCGCCCAGTCTGGAGTGCAGTGACCTGCTCACTGCCACCGCAACCTCAACCTGCTGGACTGAGGCAATCCTTCCACCTCAGCTTTCCAAGTAGCTGGAACTACAGGCACATGCTACCACACCTGGCTAATTTTTTGATTTATTGTAGAGACGAGGTCTCACCAAGTTGCCCAGGCTAGTCTTGCACCTTTGGGCTCAGGCAGTCCTCTTGCCTTGGCCTCCCAAAGTACTGGGATTACAGGATTGAGGCACTGTACCCAGCCAGGTTAATAATTTTTAAAAAGTTTTTTTTAATCATAGTTGGCTAATAATTTTTTAAGACATGAAATTGAGAAGGAAAGGCTGTACTTAGGTGTGTGCTTTGTTGTAATTTTGATAATTTTTGGGGTCAGGTTTATTATTTATAATATTTCTTTGGCAAATTGTTGATGATATCAGTTTTAGAATAATAGATTATCAGTAACTCTTTTTACTGTGATCACTTGAAAAAAGTTCAAGGTGGATTGCAAAGTGGTTTTAGGGAATGCTTTGGTCAGACCAAGCAAAACCAGCCTCAATTCTTTAGCATTGTTGAGAACACAACCTCTAAATAGTACTGTTAATAGAGGTTGAAACAATTAGAAAACTTCTTATGTCAGTCCTCATTTCACTGTATGTGGGAACTGTTGGTTGTTGACTAGGAGTTGCTTTGAGGTGATGAGGAGTTGCTTTGAGGTGAATGTTGTTCACAAAAAACATTCAGCGCTGATTAAGTGCCTCAGAATGTGTATATTTTCTGCCCTGTTTCTCTACCTGTTTCAAATTAGGTCATGTTTTAGGAAGTCAATCTAACCCTTGCCATATTATGCCTTCTCACTTACTTAATACACTTTTGCTAGTATATCATCACTATTCTGATCAAACTCTTTGCAAATATTATCATCAGTAAATCATCAGAAGTTCAAGTACCCACTTCCTGTCAATACAGTTACTGATTTAAAAAATGATACTAATTAGCATGTTGTGTCTTCTCAGTTTTTTAACCTCTTGTAGCCTCAGTTTCCCTTTTTTTAAAAAAATGAAGACATATCTTTTTATTTTATTTACTTATTTTTAAATTATTTTATTATCTTTTTTTTCCCCCCTAGAGATGGGGGTCTTGCTATGTTGCCCAGGCTGGTTTCAAACTCCTGGCCTCAAGTGATCCTCCCAACTTGGCCTCCCAAAGCATTGGGATTGCAGGTACAAGCTGAACCTGTTACTTTAGCTCTATAAGAAGATGAGCATTCCTTCCTCCCATGGCTAATAAGACCACCAAATAGGATAATGCTAGGATAAAGCATCTAACACGATAAGAGACAATGTAATTTAGTTAGTATAGTGACCTGTTTTGTATTTAGGCCTCAGTTTGAATCCTGATGACTCCACTTAAGGTGTGACTTGAGGCTGGTTACTTAACCTCATTGAAGTGTGATGGGGTTTCAGGACATACTTCCCTAAAATGTGGCACCTTGGAATAATGAATATTATAAGTTGAAGGAATTTGAGAATTGGCAGGGAGAACTCT